GCCCCACCCCCACCCCACCCCCAAGCTGTCTGGGCGCATCTTCCTCTTCCAGGGTGCTTACCTGCTCCACACTCACTTCTGCAATTATCTTGTCCTTTGTTTCCCTGGGGACTTGTTCTCTCCTCCTCACTGGCCTGTGAGCCTCCCCGGGGGGGGGTGGGGGGGGGCGGGAGCAGATTGCTGCCTGGGCTTAATGGAAGCTTCTTCTTTTTTTGAACCGGCTTGCTTCATGAAATTTCTTAATTTACTTCCCCTCTGCGGGTCAGCTTCCCCATCATTAAAATGAGCCATCGGGGCAAAGCCCGCCCTTTAACGTCCCTTTCCACTGAAACATGTTACAGGTCTTCTAAAGATGGAGAGCAGCAGGATCCTCTCTCATGACGGGTAGAGGGTACATCAGTTTTCTGAGCTTGGCGATTAGGATTTCGCGGTGAGGATGGGCGTCATTCGGGTTTATCTGCCGTTGGATGGCAGTGACCCTGCTTCACTCATGGGCACCCACAGTGAGGAGGGCAGGGTGGCCTCTGCTCTCGTGGGGCACGTGCCAGCAGGGGAGAGACTCTACGGGAGTGAAGAGAAGTAAAGGAGGCAGCTCCAGATGGTGATTAGTGCCGTGGGCTTAGGGGAGGCTCTCTGAGATGGTGACATTTAAGCGGAGACCTCTGTGACCGAGCGAGGCAGTCCCTGAGATCTGGGAGGACAGCTGGGGAGGCGGGTAATAGCACGAGCACGGGTCCCGAGGCCAGCTTGACATGCCTGAGAGACAGAAAGAAGGCCAGGCTCTCTGGAAGGCACGAGTCAGGGGGCGAGTGCCGGGAAAGGGTGTCAGAGAGAGAGGCCAGGTCCCACAGGGAGCCAGAGAAAGCATGTCTTTCTTTAACGTTTGGCTCTGGATGTGAACTGTCCGTGTGAACCTCAGGATTCCAAAGGCCCCCAGGCGCTCCCAGCCAGGGGGCCGTTAGCAGAAGGAGGCAGGCATGTCCAGTGAGACCGCTGGCCTTTAGCTGGGGCGCGGGGCCCCTCAGTGACTCTGCTCTCTTCCCAGCTGTGCTTCATGAAGCATGACAACAATTGTTCTTTGTGCTTTGGTCTGTTCAGGGCCAGCTTTGTCTGCCCTTCGCCCTGGAGGGATTGCAGAAAAAGAAAAATCAGAGGTTGTCATAGGCGTCCTGTGTCGCGTAAAAACGGAGGTTCCTTGAGGAGAATGCCAGGTGTCCTGGAAGGGGAGGGGACGGAGGTCCCTATGATGACAGAGGTTCTTGTGGAGCCAGAGCCAAAGACCCCTCTGACCCTCAAGTGACCCTGGACAGTGGGGGAGGGAGACCCCCAAATGCGTAAGATTGGGGTTCCCTTCAGTCTAGCAGAGGAGGGTGTCTGAGTTAGATAAGATTGGAGCTTTACAGAGAAAAACGGGGCCCCTTCTGGTGCATCTGTTTGTAGTTGTAAGTTAACCTCCTGTCCGTAAGTAGGGACGCTGAATTGTCATGAGTACATCCATAGGCAGGTAGAGGTGAGGTGTCCCGAGAGCAGGGAGGTGGGTGATCCATCCCAGGCTAGGGGAAACACACAGACCGGTGGAAAACACAAACTCTGGGGCAGGGCTTCCTGCCTTCACTTGCGGGCTCCCTAGCACGTGCGACGTAGGTCTGGTCACCTGAGCTTTGCTGCTCAGAGTTCTTATCCACAAAGAGGGGCTACTGATATGACCTGCCTCATGGGTTCCTTAGGAGGTTTAAATGCGAGTTCGTACATTTTCAGCATTTACAACAGGGCCTGGTGCTCAGTATGCATTTAATAAATGTGAACGATTCATGATACCATGGGCCCTAACTGGCCAGGTGGGGAAGGCTGGACGTACGGGGAGGACGGTGTCCTGGGCAAAGGGGCAGCAGGCAGGACCATGGGGGAGAGCGCATCCCTTTCAGATCCAAGTTGTGCGGCCTTAGCAATGCCCGATATGCTAGATGAGTGATTCTCAGTGGGATCAGGGACCAGAAGGATGTGCAGAGGAGGAAGGAGCATTGGGCATTGTCTGGCGACATTTTTGGTTGTTACACTGGGTGTGAGAGACCACTGGCATCCAGTGGGTAGAGGCCAGGGTGCTGCTGAACAGCCTACGATGCCCGGGGTGGTCCCCACAGTGGAGAATGATCCAGCCCCAAATGTCAGTAGTGCTGAGAGAAAACCCACTCTGGCTGAGGTGGGCAGATAAGGCTGGAGAGGTAGGCGGGGCCCCGTCACACCGGACCTACGGTTTTGGGCCACCAACAGAATTAAGCCACCAAAAGCTATCTGACTTCTGTGTTGTAGAAGGTCCTTTGGACTGCATTCTGGAGGGTGGATGAGGATGCGCAGAGGAGGTTAAGTGTGGGTTTGCCACATTTCAGGAGTAAAATAAACAGGGCTTGGCTGTGGAATGTGGAGCGTGTCAACGACAAAGCTAGAATAATCGAGTGAGAGGTCTGGTGCCCTTTATCCAGGGGAAAACGAGGCACGGAGCAGGGCCGCCCCGTCTCACAAGCAGCAGAGAACTTCCCGAGGGATCGGGGACAAGAGCGGGTTTCATGGAGCCTTGGAACAGCAGGGCGGAGACAGGCCTGGCTGGCTGGGAGGTCGGGGCTCCTGGGTCTCGTGAGCCAGCTGAACCCAGTCGGAGGGGCCCGACTGGTGTGTGCTAGGTTTCCTCAAAAGTAATGCATTTCCTGGCTACTGAGGTTCAGGTTTGGGATGTGGGCCAGGCCAACGGGAGGTCTCCATTTTATGGGTCCCGACAGATGAAGAGTTTTCGAAGGTGCAAGCTTGGAAGACGCTGTTTGGGGGGAATAGTTTGTCTGGGGATCAGTCACTAGACAGGGACACTCTTACTGTCTGTGTGGCCCTTCAGGTACCCCTCCGTGTGCTGTGCATGTGAGCTCACCTTGTGTTCTTTAAAGAAAAAAATTTTTAACATTTATTTATTTATTGAGAGAGCACGAGCAGGGGAGGGGCAGAGAGAGAGGGAGACACAGAACCCGAAGCAGGCTCCAGGCTCCGTGCTGTCAGCACAGAGCCTGACGCAGGGCTCGAACCCACGGACCGTGAGATCGTGACCTGAGCCGAAGTCGGACGCTTCACCGACTGAGCCACCCAGGCACCCCAAAAAATTTCATTTATTTTTAGAGACAGAACAAGTGGGAAAGAGGGGGGCGGGAGAGAGAGAGAATGAGAGAGAGAGTCTCAAGCAGGCTTCATGCTCAGTGCAGAACCCATTGGGGCTCGATCCCACGATGCTGGGATCATGAACTGAGCTGAAAACAAGAGTCAGATGCTTAACCAGCACAGCCACCAAGGTGCCCCAGTTCATTCTGTGTTCTAACTCCGGGGCCGGCTGTTAATTAGCATTTTAAATACCCTAATCTGGAGTTGTTTCCTAAGCACTGCAAATGTTAGATTTGTTCATTAGCGTAAAGCATCTCAGAAATAATTACCAGTGTCAAGGGTCTGTGGTTTACTGGAGGGGTTCTGGGGGCCCCTGTGTGAACACGTAGTCAGGGAGTCAGCCCCTGGCCCCACTGTGGCACAGATTCAACCGCAAGGTTGGCTGGTCTGGCTGTCCGAGCGGTGGGCAGAGGGGACCTGTGGTTTCCCCACCCACCTCTAATCCCCTGAAGCTGTAAACATCTCCCAGAAGAACCTGACAACAATCTTGACAAGCCTCTAAATCAGGCGGATGGGTTCAGATCAGCCCTTAACAAAAAAGGTCGCAATTAGGAGGTGCTCTGGTAAGTTAAAAACAGGGTCAGAAACCTAGGGAACAAAGTTCATTTCACTGGTGGTGGAGAAATAAATTGCGTGAGTAATGGATGTAAGATATATATGTGTGTGTATATATATATATATATATTTTCCACACAGTTGTTTTCGTGAAATCATGGGGGATCCATAGTCTCAAAAGTGGGAGGCTGGTCCTCAGAACCCTTGAAATAATCTTCTCGCTCAAGGGCGGACAAAGTTATGGCCCAGGGCCAAGCGAGGCAGGGCCTGTCCTATGAGTACAATCTGGAGGACGTGGCAGCTCCCAGGGGTGGTGCTGGCCGCTGCTTGCCAACGGCGGTGGCTGTCCAAGCAGCTGGACCGCGACCAGCTGCCCACAAGCCCCAAGGTGTGTACTCTCTGGTCATTTCCAGGAAAGGACTTCTGACCCCTGCTGTGAACCAAGCTCTTGTCGGGGCACTGGGGGCCGTGCCTGGAGCTTTGACTGCAGGGCTCCCAAGGCACAGGGAAGGGCAAGGCTGAGGCTGTTCCAGCCCGAGAAGGGCGTTCTGAGGCTCAGCGACGCCCACGGACGATCGTGCTGGCGTCCCCATGAGCACGAGTGTCACCCACGGGGCGCTGGACTTTGCATGGAGGCTGTCGCCGGCTTGTCCTCTTTCTCCTTCCCGAACAGGGTGTGCAAGACTGGGCACCGCTGTAGATAACAGAGGCAAACAGAAGCCTGTATGGAGATGTGCTGGCAGGAAGGGAGTGTCCCCAGGGCGGCGTGGACCCAATCCGGGCTGCTCCGCTGTGGTAGTCCTGGGTTCCACGGCGGCCGCCCAGCGTTTGGGAGGAAGGAAAAGTGAGAACGGAGCGCTCACAGGACCACAGGCCGCTGCGGAGGCCACCGGGGGGGGGGGGGGGGGGG